CACAGAATAATTAATCTGCTAATAAGCTTGATGAGCCACAAGTTTACAGTCGAGTTTAGATTCAAGCTTGATCATGCCCCGTCTCAACTCATCGACTTGATTAATATTAACTAATATATTGATATTTATATTAGTTTAATTAATTATGTTTCCTAAAATTCAAAATAAAAAATTGAGTTCTGAAATGAGTCAATCTCAAGCTTCTTTTCAAATTCAAGTATTCGAACCAAAATCGAGCTTAGTATAAGTTAAATGAGCTTGGATAGATTGAGCAATAGCTTCACTTAGTGACTCTTTTGTAACCCTAGATATAAATGAGTCAATATAAATATAAATCTATAACTAAAAAAATGAAATGAATTAAGCTATAGAAGTTTACAAAACATAAATTGAAACAAGAGAGTATTTTAGTTCTATTTTATTTTAATATAATAAATAATGAAATTTTATCAGAATATTTTGATTTGAAATTAATAAATTTTATAATTATCAAATCTATTATAAAATGAATACAATAAATAAATAATTAATTAATTATAATTTACATTACGCTCATTTTAAAATAATTTTAATTATTATAAAATCATTTTTATTTAAAATTGGATTAGAAAATATATGGACTCCAAATTTTTCCTAAAATAATATTTTCTCAAAATCTTCTAGGATATTATGTGCATAAAAAATCATACAAAAAAAAATATTTGCATCACTAATATAAAAAATAAAAATATTTTTAAGCACATCGATACACTTTATTTCAATACATTTTAACATAATTTTTTTAATAAGAATGAGTTTGATATTTTTTAAATTTATTGTTAGTTTATCTCCTTTGAATAAACGGGCCACAAATTTTATTTTATATTTGAATCGTTTATTCACTGTGCAAACTTATTCAAAAATATTAGGCTTTTTTTAAAAAATTAATTACACTATTATTATTATTATTATTATTATTATATCACATAAATTTAAAAACATAAATAAAAATAAATAAAAACATATATGAATATATATAAACCTTATAATATCTAGACCTCTTCTTCTTCTCGCTCACCATCTCCTATTCTCTCTTCCCATTATCCATGGCTTCCCTCTCCAACTCTTTCTTTCTCCTCCACCTTCTCCTCCTCCTCCTACACCTCTCCTCTTCCTTCTCCACTACTTTCATTGAAACAACATGCAAATCCACCTCTTACCCCGACTTCTGCGTCACCGCCATCTCATCCACCAGTCCTCAGACCTCCACCACCGCCGACACCCGCGGCCTATCATCCATCTTCCTCTCCTTAGCCCTCTCCAACGCCACCAACTCGTCCTCCTACGCCACCTCGCTCGCCGCCTCCTCTATAACAGAGGAACCCATTCGCCCTCTCCTTCGTGCTTGCTCACTCAAATACGCTGCAGCCGGCGATGCCCTGAGCTGGGCTTTGCGAGAGCTCTCGGCAGAGTCTTATGACAACGCGTTTGTTCACGCTAGTGCGGCCGCAGAATACCCTATTGCCTGCCGAATGCTCTTCGCGCAACAGAGGCGGAAGCCGGCGGCTTTGTACCCGCCGGAACTTGGCCGGATGGAAGAGGAACTTAGGCGGCTGTGCACTGTGGCTGTGGAGATCATTTCGCTTCTTGATTGAGTTTTTTCTTACTTGTGAGTGAGTTGGTTTAGATTGGAAGTGTTCGTTATCCTTCGTAATGAGTTTCAGAATTATCTATTATATATCATTGGAGCAGTCTTTACTATTTTCCGTTAGACTTTTCTCTTTTACCGGTCTTTTCCGATCTGCTCATTTATATATTTGTACTATTTTTACGCTTCTGGGTCTGTAAAAGCTTAAAAAGTTTTTTTTTTTTTTAACATTTAGGTCATTTAAGACAAACTCACACACGCAATGCATACACATAGACTCGAACCCTAGACATCTTAGTTGAAGCCTTAGCTCTCAACCAATAGGCGAAGAAGAGCGGTGTAAAAAGCTTAAAAAGTAATCAAAGTTTTTTTTACATGTCTTCTTTTACCTTTCACAGTTTCAAGGGACTCCGCCGGCCGTGGGCCATGTTTGGGATGGCTTTCTTACAGCTGTTTTAAGAAGAGAAATAAGAAAGTAGTCCAAATAGAAGCCTTTGGCCTCGTTTGGGACAACTTTCTTACCGCTTTTCAAATTGACTTTTTAGCATAAAAATTAAATTTTTTTATCAAAAAGTTGTTTTAAGAAGCACCAAAAAAGCCGCCTCAAACGAAACCTCAGTCTTAGGTTTTGTTTGGGATGGGTTTTTTGCTGAGCAGTTTTTAGTATAAAAATTAAAAATTTTTACTAGAAAATTGCTTTTTAAAACGGTCCCCTTAGTTTGAGATAATTTTCATTTTTTAATAGGAAAATATTTTAAATTAGACTTTTTTTTTAATAAAAAGTTATTTTAAAAAAACATTAAGAAATCTATTACAAACAAAATCTTATCCTATTATGAATTTGCCGTAAGGAAATTATCCAAAGGCTGTTAATTGACGCAAAAATACATTTAATCCTGATGGTCATATAAACTCATTACGCCATCTCAGATTTAAACGGTCGAAATCCGATTTCTCATTAATCATTATTCTCCAAAGAGATCGGGATGAGTTTTGTTACTTTATTAATTTCCAGCATACTTCTTCCTCTTCTATTAAGTATTAACAATGCAAAATCTCTACTCCGTAAGCAGTTTCAGCTCAAATATTTTAATGACGTTAAATTAGTACTACTTTGGTCTCTAGATCACTCAATCAAGCATGAATCTTGTTCTTCAAACTTGCATGTTCCATTGATTAAAAAGCATAAAAAGAGTATAAATAAGTACCAACTGGTGCGGAAACTACCTATGGCTCCCCACCCACCATAAAAAAATTAAGGGTGCCAATATTTGACACGACATTAAAATTTGGCCGGAATCCGACCAAGAAAGTTCGGATTTGGGTTAGGGATTTCGAGCCTTTAGTAAAACCAGGTCGGGTTCAGGTTGACCAGGAAACCCATAAATGACCTGGAATGGCCCAGCTGACCGGCTGACTGTATGACCAAAACACATCGCATACGCGACTGATTGCATTGTGTGTGACCACATTGCATCATGTGTCCCGCTTCCTGCAACCCGCCTTCCACTTTCGACGTTCGGCGTCGTCCCGCTCCGGCGTTCCACATCCGCAGCATCCCGCTGTCCAGCGTCAGGCGTGTCCCTCTTCAGCTTCACGAATGCCGCGCATGCCCGAGTTTCAGGCGTGTTGGGTTGACCCGAACTAGAAGAGGGTTCAGTTCGGGTCTGGAAATCTGACCCGTTTTCAAAAACAGTCCGGGTTTAGGTTGACCCGAATAGTGTCGGATCAGTTATGGGTTGAACCCAAACCCGACCGTGACCCTATTTTGACGTCCCTAAAAAACAAGCAAAAGAGAAAAGACTATTGCAAGAATCAATCTCACTCCAAATATGAATGTAACAAAAAGTATAGAGACTGAAAAAGAAAGAAAGAAGAACATCCTTAGCAGGCACTGTAATGTCCCCCATATAATTACATTGAGTACCAACAAAATAAGCAAGAAGCCACCCGGCCTGTTCTCTTACAACATCGTTACACTTTGCAGCTCTTAAAAGATACCGATTTCCTTGCAAGCAAACCTAAATGAACTCCCATCACGCAACCAACACAATGGTACCGGTGATTATCCCCTCCTCCCACATTCCACCCAATGCATATTGGTTACTAATGAGTCTGTTATATCTCACCTCATCATGATCTGACGACTGACATCACCTTCACTGTTCATAAACAGAGACAATTTGTTGTTTAACCGAAGAGTATCATGCATGATTAGTTTATTAGTTTGGTTTACTCTATTAGGTCTTAGGCTTCCTTTTGGGATGCTTTTTTATTGTTTGTAAAATAATTTTTTAGCATAAAAATTAAAGTTTTTAGACTAAAAAATTATTTTAAGAAGCAGTAAAAAAATTTTCTCAAACAAAGCCTCAAACTCTCGGGTACTTCAAATCAAACACTAATATTTTCAAGACCGCTATATTTGAATTACTCGACGTCTATTTTTTTTAAAATCAAACAGCCCCTTAGGGGATGTTTGGTATCGGATTTATCGTGGGATTTAAGTCGGATTTACGCTAAATCCATCCAAACGGTTTTTGTGGGCGCGTTAAATCCCGGGATTCCGTAAATCCCGGATTTACGGATTTACGGCTTAAATCCCGGATTTACTAAATCCCTCGGTTCAGTGGATTTAACGGGATTTAACATTAGAAGC